GCGCAGGGCGCCGAAGGGTGTATCCCCGTCGCCCTCGCGTGGCATGCGAGGGGCCGAGGCCAGCCGGCCAGAGACGGCAGGAGTTGGAAAGAGCAGCCGCCAGTGCAGGCCAGCTGGAGCCCACGAGCGGCTCGGCGAGCCTCCACAGCGCGCGGCGCCGAAGGGTGGAGGTCGCCAAGGCGGGGGGCAGCCAGCCCCTAGGAGCCGCCTCCACAGCGGCTGGGCTCAGCGCTCCGCGCCGAAGGGAGCCCAGCCGCCGCCGTGCGGCCGCCGGCCCACGAAGAGGCCGACGGCCTGGCCGCGCGCCGTGCCGTGCTGCCTGACGCCCGCGGGCGCGGGCGCGCGCGGCGCCCGACCATGGGCCCTGTAGGGCCCCCTTTTTTAAAAACCCGGCCCCTCTCCCCTCCTCCGAGGTATTTACTGGTCCCTGGCCCCCTCTCTTCTCCTCGGGGTCGGGTTCCCGGGGCCGCCGTCTGAGTGCCCGCACGGCCCTCGTGGGCTGCTGCGGCGCGCTCCGCGCTTCGGGCGCTCGTGGAGACGCTGCTCGGAGCGAGAAACGCAGAAACGCAGGAGGAGGAGGCGGAGGAGGAGGAGGAGGAGGTGTCGAATGGGGATGGGAATGGGTGAAGCGATACTGAATCTGGAGGACCTGCGCCCTTCCCCGAGGCGCGGTGCCCTCCCGGGAGGCCGCCCCCTGCCCGCGCGCCTCTCGCCCCGCCCGCTCCCGCGCGCACCCCCGCCAGACCTCCCGCTCTGCCCCCGCTGGGGCTCGAGGCGGCCGGGCGAGGACTCCGCCTGGCGTGGGCGTTGCCCGCGGTCGAGGCCCCCAGACCTCCCAAGGACTGGAGGCGGGAGCTTTCCGCAGTCGTCGGCACCTCCAGGGACTGGAGGCGGGAGTGTTCCGCACTGCCCCGCCTCTGGGGGGCCTCGCCGGGCCCCAGGGCCGTCAAAGAACGGCTCGGGACGAAGAGCCGGCCCGGGGGACCAGACCTCCAGGGGGCCCGTCTTGCGAGAAACCGAGGACGTCGGATGTCTGGGCTGGTTGGAGAGAGGACACGCGAGAGGGCACGAGACCCTTCCGAGGGCCACAGGGCCACAAAGGCATGGGTCGCGAAGCACAGGACAGCAGGGTACCCCTCCCTGCCTCCCTCCCTCCCTCCCCCTCCTCCCTCCCTCCCTCCCTCCTGCCACACTCACCCCCCCCTACCTCCCTCCCCCCCCCCTCCCCCCTCCCTCCCTCCCCCCCACTCCCTCCCTCCACACCAGGGTACCCTTGATTTGGCAGGGTGGACCTACTGATCAGCCTCGACTGTAATGGGGCGGGGGGGCGACGACTGGGAGGGATAAGCGTGCATCCGTCGTGCCTCTGGTGGGCCCCAGGGGCCCCCTTCCTTTCGGGCCCCGTGAGGCACAAAAAGAGTGCACCTTTCTGCGCCCCCCGATCCACTGATCGCTCCTCCCCCATCACGCAACGCCCGAGTCGAATGAGGAGAGGGCGGTTCCGGAAAAGGGGGCGCGCTCGGGAACTCTTGCTCGGCGCGTCGCCGCGGCGGCCTCGGCGACACGCTACGCCCTGCAGGCGGACAGCGCGTCGCTCCGCTCCGCGGGGCGGGAGGCTCTCGGAAGGGCTCGGGGCGTCGAAGCCTGGGGACTGGGATGTGCATAACCGCGCCGCAGCGTACACCCTGCGAAATGCTTAAGAAATCATGGGTTAAGAAATTCATAGTCTCAGAACTTGAATAAAAACCCAACATTTCTATCAAAATCTTAAGATTTACATTGAAACGTTAAGAATAATCGAGACTCTGGCCGAAAACTTAAGTTTTCTTAAGCATCGCCTAAGGTGTAGTTGACCAGAACCAGCGGAGCGACACACAAAGCCCAAGGTCCCTGCCGTACCCCCCTGGTAGATTTCGGCCCCCAGCTCAGCACTCCGGCGACAGCTCGGGACCATCCAGGCACACCCGGAACGCTCTCGAAGAGAGCGCAGCTGACGGAGAGAAGCCCGAGGCTGGAAAGCCGCCGAGAACCAGCGATCACGTCCGAAGACCTCGAGCCTCGAGCCTCGAGAACGAGTCGTTCTCGAGCACAGAAGCCCCTTCGCTCCAGAGTGGGTCCAGTGACAGATGACCTGAGGTGAGGCTGTCGGGAGTCATCCTCCCTCCTCGTGAGACATCGGAGGCCATCAAACCGGGGGGGAGGAGGAGGGAACAATGAGGAGGAGAAAGAGGGTGCTGGAGAAGGAGAGCGGGGAGGAGAAAGAGGGAGGAAGAGAAGGAGGACCAGAGCAGATCCAGGAAGCATCAAACGGTGCAGCGATACACCCGTTCGTGCCAAGTCCCCTACACATAAGATCCTACAAGCCTTTCTCTGCACCACAAGAAGCCTCCCCTTGAAGACGAGCGTTACATGTGCCTGCCATTCGGGCTAAAGCCCCGGTTTGAAACTGAAGTGCCTTGCACCCTCCTAGCGAGTCCTTAGGAATGCGAAGTGCTAGGGACACAAAAACGGACGGTGCCTAGCGGGAGGCCCTCCTTGAAAAGGAACCGCCACCCTCCGTGCAACGAACACACAGACCTACAGTTCTGGCGGTACACCTGTGAACTTCTAGAAGCGAGGGCCCCAACTCGACGAGGGCCGTCCTACAAGCGCGCAGTTGTTCCATACGTTCTCTGGCCGTTAAGTCCAAGGGAGTCTCAAGGGCAAATTCGCCGGCCCACTGGGCCAGAGGCATGCTAAGATCTCTGGCAACTGCTTGACAAGATATCTAGTTCGCGCGCGCGCGCAGGGCGGCTTCTGGGGGCTCCCGAACGAAAAGTACCCCGAGCAGGTCCCGGCCAGTGCGGCTCAGAGATGGTTTTCCTCCTCGGCGCTGCCTTCCAGGCCTCCCAGAGCGCTCCAGGAGCGCGCCAAGCAGGCTCGGAGACGCCCCCGGGACAGTCCAAGGGGCCCCGAGTCGCCGAAAGATTGCTCCAAGGCGCCCACGCTGGTCCCCAGACGGCCCTAGACGCCGCCGAAAAGCTCCAAGAGAGCCTCAAGAGACCCTCCAAGAGGGCCCCAACAAGTTACAGTCGCTTCATTTCCTGAGGAAAACGTGCATTTCTGGCATAGACGCTGGGCAAGATGGCCCAACATGCCCCCAAGATGCGCCCAAGAAGGCCCAAGAGGGCTCCAAGACGGCCCAAGAGGGCTCCAAGGCGGCCCAAGACGCCCCCAGAGAGGGAACTCGAAATTACATTTGAAGCTTTCCGACCCCAGGGACCCCTCAGAGACCGCCAGCAGGCTCCCAAGAAGCACCCAGAAGTCCCAAGGAGCCCCCGAGAGGCCCACAATCAGAGCCCGAGGGCACCCAAACGGCCCTGACGAGACCTGAAGAAGCTTCAAAATTGCCTCCAAAAGGCTCCTGCGACACATGCCAGGAGACCCCAACACAGCCGCATCAAATGTCCCCTGCGCCCCATCGACAAGCCCCAGAGTGAGCATCCACGACCAGCAAACCCCCACGAAGGCACCCGAAGTCCAACAAAGCACCACACAGCTAGCCGCCCCGTGAAAAGCGACCGATTCCCCTGACAACTCCCAAGAAATCCAGACGAATCGCCCCAACATCATGCCTCACGCAACGCCTCGGAAAACAGCCGACGCCCCTGCAGCTCAACACCGCCAACGACCACTTAGCCAGTCGACGCGGCAGTGCCCTAAAATGGGCCGGCGGAGTGAGCGAAGCGATTGAAGAAAGTTTTGAAAAGGATAACCCCTCCGCATTTAACTTGTACCCGATACGAAGGACGAAAATGCAAGGCGACCAGGCGAGCGTCCCGTTTTGAGGAAACCAAAACCGACTCCCAGCAATGCAACTGCTACAAGCTGTAATTGTTTGCGCGGGTGATCTCTACAAACATCTACTGCCCGCCTGGCCCTTATAACACCAACACCATGCGCTGTCACTGGATAGTATGCGTATATCTATACATATATATATACATATGTATATATATGTGTATGTATGTACATATATATATATATATATATAAATATTGTATATATATATGTGTGTGAAACCCCAATGGGCACTGATTTCTGAAGCGCCCGTTGCCCAAGAACGCGATTATGCCGCGACGACCGTGTCCAAGCATGACATATACAAGTTGCTTGACGTGTCCGACTGTTTTCCCCTGGTGTCCACGTAACGGGTTGGACCGTGATAAGACGTGCAAAGTATGGTCACGCGGCGGGTCGTCCAAAGCAGCGATTCGCCTACAGGGCGCGCCAATTCAACTCTGCGAATGTGTCTGCAAGGGCGCCACGCGGTCTTTTGCGAGAGGGATGCACCTACCAGAAGCCCACGAATTCCCCGACATTAAAGGAGTGAGTTTGCATCCCTAGGGGAGACAAACTCTCGTTTGGGTTTTGTTTGAGGACATCGCCCCGTTGGACCTCCGAGAAGAACACGGAAATGGCGGCAGTTGCGCGGATGGCACCACGCAGAATGGCAGGTTAGGAGGCTCGGTGGTTGGCGGCAGCAACGCCAGGGGGTGGCCAGCGACAGGACCTCGCTGCAAAATCCACACCCACGACCGATTCTGGACGGTCCTGGGACCCAGAAGCAAATCCAGATGCCGAAACCAAAGAAGAACCACCCCGAAACGTTTAGGCGCCGCCGAAGCCTTCCAGGCACAGCGACGACGACGGCGGCGACGACACCGGCGGGGGCGGCGGATGACGGCGGACGCCGACGGACGAAGACGGCCGAAAACGAACGAAGACGGACGCCAGTGGACGACGGCGGCGGACGACGACGGCGGCGACGACAGCGGCGGTGGCAAACGACGGACGACGGACGACGGACGACGACGACGGACGACGACGACGGACGACGACGGACGACGACGACGGACGACGACGGACGACGACGACGACGACGGACGACGACGGCGGACGACGGCGGACGACGACGGACGACGCCCCGAAGAGGGCCGCGGGGGGGGCGCGCGGGGGGCCTCCAGCAGAGCGTTGTAGGCGCACACGTCGGGGGCCAGGCCCGCCTGGGCGGGGCCGCGCGGCGAGGAGGAGGAGGAGGAGGAGGAAGAGGAGGAGGAGGAGGAGGAGGAGGAGGAAGAGGAGGAGGAGGAGGAGGAGGAGGAGGACGAGGAGGAGGAGGAGGAGAAGGAGGATGATGCAGGGCGCGCTTACATCGAACATTTTGGGGCTCAGGGGGCATTTTTTTCCAAGACGGGCCAAAGCATGATATGTAGGAATCGACAGCCAGCTGACATCTCAGCGAATTGGGAAGGCAGCGCAGAAGATCCGGGCACGAGCCGCAACTGGCTGAGCACAGGCTTCACAGCAGCATCGTGCTCTCAGAACGGGCGTAAAGCATTACAACATATAGGGAGGTGGAGGGGACGAAAGAGGTAGAATTGAGCCGCAAACCAGCGGCCATGACTCTCGTGCGCACCGCAATGCCCTTCACAGAAGATCGCCCTGCAGGGCGCGTTTACATCTAACATAATGGGGCTCAGGGGGCCTCCTTTTTCCCCAGAGGGGCCAGAACATGATATATAGGAATCGACAGCCAGCTGAGATCACAGCGACTTGGGAAGGCAGCGCAGAGGATTCGGCCACGAGCCGCAATCGGCTAAGCACAGGCTTCGCAGTAGCACTAGATCACATTCTTCTGTTTATTCTATGCCCTGGCCGCCAGGCCGTCTTCAGAGGGCAGAGAAAAGACCTTAATGGCCAGCAAGTTCGTTCAAATGATCGGCTTCGATGTCCCCAGCGGGGGCCCACAACCACTTAGCCCCGGCCGTACACATTGCTGTCGGGCAGGACTCGGCGCGGGAGGTGCATGTTTGAGACGACCCCAGGATCGCGACAGAAAGCTGGACGCGGGCCGTACCAGAAAAATCACACATCCCTCGGCATGAGGAGCAAAGATGAAAGAAGGAGGGGGGGCCAGTTGGAGGTGCCAGGCTAATTCCCCAAACAGCTTGCTGAACGGGGTGCTGTTGTGATAGAAGCTAATCCGGCCGAGGGAAATCGGAGCAGAGACATCCTCACAAAAATTTGATGGTCCGGGCCGTTTCGCTTGAGACATCCTCACAACTCTCGTTTCTGAGTTGGCCGGGATTGGCCGTTTCGCCTGAGACATCCTCGAAAAGTTGCGCTCCGGGACGCCGCGCGAGAGGTGGTCCGGGCCGTTTCGCTTGAGACATCTTCGAAACTCTGAGCCCCGAGGTGCCGTGAGAGAGGTGGTCTGGGCTGTCTCGCCTGAGACATCCTCGAAACTCTAAGCTCTGAGATGCCTTGCGCGAGGTGGTCCGGCCCGTTTCGCCTGAGACATCCTCGAAACTCTAACCTCGGAGATGCCGCGCGAGAGGTGGTCTGGCCCGTTTCGCCTGAGACATCCTCGAACTTCTGAGCTCTGAGATGCCTTACGCGAGGTGGTCCAGCCCGTCTCGCCTGAGACATCCTCGCAACTCTGACCTCTGAGATGCCGTGCGCAAGGTGGTCCGGCCTGTTTCGCACAAAACATTCTCGCAATTCTGAGCTCCCAGATGCCGCGCAAGAGGTGGTCCAGCCTGGGGGCCCAGAAGACCACATGTTACATATCCTCCCTGGGACCCTGGGAGCCCCAGGAGGCCCCAGAGAGCTCCAGGAGGCCGCAGGACGCCCAGGACAGGCCCCAGGTGTCCGCAGGAGATTCCCAGGAGGCTCCCAGGAGGCCCCAGGAGGCCCCCTATCAGAACGTGTCAAGTTAATACACATCCGGTGTCGATTCGTTGATTTTTCCTGCTCTTGTGCCCCCCCCCCCTTCCATTTTGAGGGGCCCAATCGGCCACAGGTTAGATATCCCCCCTGGGAGCCCCAAGAGGCTTCAGGAAACTCCAGGTGGAGTTCAGTGGGCCACAGGAGGCCCAGGAGGAAGCCCCAGGAGGTCCCCAGGAGGCCCTAGGAGACACCAGGAGGCTCCCGCAACTCGGAGCTCTGAGACGCCGCGCTCGAGGTGGTCCGGCCCGTTTCGCCTGAGACTTCCTCGCAGCACGTTTCGCCCGAGACACCGGCCCGTCTCGCCTTGGACCAACTCTGAGCTCTGACATGCCGTGCGCAAGTTGGTCCGGCCCGTTTCGCACAAGACATTCTCGCAATTCTGAGCTCCCAGATGCCGCGCAAGAGGTGGTTCAGCCTGAGGGCCCAGAAGACCACATGTTACATATCCCCTCTGGGACCCTAGGAGCCCCAGGAGGCCCCAGAGAGCTTCAGGAGGCCGCAGGACGCCCAGGACAGGCCCCAGGGGTCCGCAGGAGATTCCCAGGAGGCTCCCAGGAGGCCCCAGAGGCCCCCTATCAGAACGTGTCAAGTTAATACACAACTGGTGTCGATTCGTTGATTTTTCCTGCTCTTGTGGCCCCACCCCCATTTGGGGGAGCCCCGACGGCCACATGTTGGATATCCCTCTGGGAGCACCAAGGGGCTTCAGGAAGCTCCAGGTGGGTTCCGTTCCAGGAGGCCACAGGAGGCCCAGGAGGAAGCCCCAGGAGGTCACCAGGAGGCCCCAGGAGGCCCTAGGAGGCCCCCGCAACTCGGAGCTCTGAGACGCCGAGCTCGAGGTGGTCCGGCCCGTTTCGCCTGAGACTTCCTCGCAGCACGTTTCGCCCGAGACATCGTCGCAGCTCTGGGGTCCGAAATGCCGCGCGCGAGGTGGTCCAGCCCGTTACGCTGGAGACATCCTCGCAACTCTGGGCTCCGAGATGCCCTGCGCGAGGTGGTCCGGCCCATCTCGCCTGGACATCCTCGCAACTCTGAGCTCTGAGATGCCGTGCGCAAGGTGGTCCGGCCCGTTTCGCACAAGACATTCTCGCAACTCTGAGCTCTCAGATGCTGCGCAAGAGGTGGTCCAGCCTGGGGGCCCAGAAGACCACATGTTACATATCCCCCCTGGGACCCTGGGAGCCCCAGGAGGCCCCAGAGAGCTTCAGGAGGCCGCAGGACGCCCAGGACAGGCCCCAGGGGTCCGCAGGAGATTCCCAGGAGGCTCCCAGGAGGCTCCAGGAGGCCCCCTATCAGAACGTGTCAAATGAATACACAACCGGTGTCGATTTGTTGTTTTTTCTGCTCGTGGCCCCAGGAGGTCCCAGGAGGCCCTAGGAGGCCCCCGCAACTCGGAGCTCTGAGACGCCGAGCTCGAGGTGGTCCGGGCTGTTTCGCCTGAGACTTCCTCGCAGCACGTTTCGCCCGAGACATCGTCGCAACTCTGGGGTCCGAAATGCCGCGCGCGAGGTGGTCTGGCCCGTTACGCTGGAGGCATCCTCGCAACTCTGGGTTCCGAGATGCCGCGCGCGAGGTGGTCCAGCCCGTCACGCTGGAGACATCCTCGCAACTCTGGGCTCCGAGATGCTGTTCGGGATGAAGAGGTGGAGGAGGAGGAGAAGGATGAGGCCCGACGGCCACATGTTAGATATCCCCTCCTGGGGGCCCCAAGAGGCTTCAGGAAGCCCCAGGTGAGGTCCAGGAGGCAACAGGAGGCCCAGGAGGAAGCCCCAGGAGGTCACCAGGAAGTCCCAAGAGGCCCCGGGAGGCCCCTGCAACTCGGAGCTCTGAGACGCCGCGCTCGAGGTGGTCCGGCCCGTTTCGCCTGAGACTTCCTCGCAGCACGTTTCGCCCGAGACATCGTCGCATCTCTGGGCTCCGAAATGCCGCGCGCGAGGTGGTCCAGCCCGTCACGCTGGAGACATCCTCGCAACTCTGGGCTCCGAGATGCTGTTCGGGATGAAGAGGTGGAGGAGAAGGAGAAGGAGGAGGAGGAGGCATGTTTGAACATGCCATGCCAGCCCGCACTAGACGGGCACGCAATCGACCTTGGAAACCGCAATGGGTCCAAAAACCCTGTTTGGGGATACTGCACTCCGGCTATATTTTCGGTTTCTCCAAGGCACCTCGAGTCTCCAAACATCGAACAAGTAAGCTCGACAGGCAGGGTGAGCGGCAAGTGTCTTCATGTTAGTTGGGAATGGAAAAAAACTAAGCTGCTGATGGGGTTCTCGGCGACCACGGGGACCCCGCCACGGATGCACGAGCCGGCAATCCGGCGCGCGGCAAGGAGGGGACGATTGCCAGCCAGGGCCCTCTCAAACCCGACGGGGCCCAGGTCGGGTCGCCCCAAAAAAGTCAGAGTGGGTTCGATACCGCCAGCGCGAGGCAACGCCCCAGGCGGAACAGGGAAAGGTCAGCCAGACTCCGCGGATCAGCTTGCTGCTGACCCACCGACGATCGGATCCACGACCACGGGGCCATTGAGGTCAAGAGCACGCCCAGCTCTAAGATCGGCCTCGATGACCCCCTAACCGCCACGCTTGCGAAGCCCGCGGGCTACGCCCCCAACTCCAGAGAACAAATCAAGGAAGACTTGGCCTTGGCGGGGGGCAGCGGCGGCGGCGGCCGAAAAAGCTTGAGACATGCTCTATGGATGGCGCCCCTGCTTAGGCGAGCCGAGGCGTCGAGGGCGCCCCCAGCCTTCCAAACGCCTGCGCGACGGGCGGCGGCGCTCAGCCCCTGCGCCCTGCGGCGCTGGGCAGCGCAGCCGCCGCAGAAGAGGTCGGCGAGGTCGGCCTCGACCCACTCGCCGAAAGCCTTCACCTCGGACGGCAGCTTCTCGCACTCGGCCAAGCAGCGCGTCCCCCTGCGGCACCGCCGCGCGCTGGACTCGCCCAGGTGCCTTAGCCGCTCTTGGGCCGCCCCGAACTCCCTGACCTTGAACAACACGTCGTGGGAGGCGGCTCCGCGGCGGACCCGGCACGGGCGAGCGCCCCCGACCCCCGCCAGCCCGGCGCGCTCGACGAAATCCCGGCGGAACTTGGGCCCCGAGAGCGGCCAGAGGGGCTCGTCCGCCTGGCCCCGCGCCATCAGGGCCTTCAGCGCCACGCTGGCGCTATGGGTGGCATCCGACTCCAGGGCCACCCCCTCGTCGAAGTGCCCCGTCTTGCCCCTGTTCGACAGCTCCTCGGGAAACGGCAAGATGGCTCATCGGTCGATGCGGCCCCGCGGAGCCAGGACCGCCAGGGGCCCACCCACCATGCCGATCAGGTCGCCGGGCAACCTGAGGCACGCGTCCCAGGCGACGAGGTCGAGGCAGAAGTCGAGCCAGCCGCAGAACACGCCGACCCCGATGATCGCGAAGACGCCCTGCTTGGGGAGGGACTTGCGGGCCCGACCTCGCGCCGCCCGCTCGATGCCCCCTAGCGGCCTAGCGGGGCCCAGCTGTCCGACGAGGCCCCTGGCCACTCCAGCCCCTGGCTGGAATGGAAGAAAGAGGACAGCGGCCAGCGTCTTCTCGCCCCTGTCCTGGTTCCAGCTGTCGAAGTACAGGCGGCCCAGGTGCCGGCGAGGGACACGCCCAGCTCGGCGACCGCGGCGCCCCCCCCCGACTCCTGTCCGGGAAGTTGACGCGGACCCGCCGGCGCAGGATCTGCGTGGAGCGCCCCGCCCGAGCCGTCTGTGCGAAGGCGAGACCCTCCCCAGCAGCTCTGGAAGCTGCAGGCCGACGGCGGCCGCGATCGGCCGCACGCCGAGCCTGCAGCGCGAAAGCTCGCTCCGTCCTCTTGGCCCGAGCGGGCCGCCTGTTACGAGGGCCCGCCTCGGCGGGGGCCGCCAGGGCCGGGGCTGCTCGAGCGACTCGAGGAGGTCGCTGAGCTGGCGCGGCCACCGCCACTATCGCCGACTGGCTCGACGTCGCAGCGGGCAAGCCAGCCGGGGCGGGCCTCGGGGTCGAGGCCGTCGCCGAGACCGCAAAGCCCAGGCGGAGCAGCAGCTGGCCGCCCTCCACCACCTGGGGGCCGCCCGCTGGTCCGCTGCACGACGACCCGCTCAAGCCCCAGGTCGAAAGTGGCCCCCGCCGTGGCCCCGACCAGGCCGCCGGAGCATCGGGGAGCGCGGGCCCGCGCGGGCCCGCCTCCAGCCCCCGGCCCCGGCCGAGAGGCTGCGAGAAGGGCCATCGGCGGGGTTCAACTCCGACGCGACCCATCTGACCACGAATGACGTGTTAGAACGGATAGAGACACACAATAACTCCTGACAAGTGCGATCCAACAGAGGCGACGTCGAACGCCCCTTCCCAGCGGCGAGGACCACGGACACGCGGCCAAACAAAAGCAAATGGCGGCGCCCGAAGCTTCCGACGTTGCGCAGCCTATGCCGCGCCACCATCACAAGAACCCCCCCCTCCGCACGCATGATATTCTCTGTAGAGGCGAAGCGGCCGAACAGGACGGTGGCCCACGAGTCGAAATCCCCGATCTGCCCCCCCATCGACGCGGAAAAGGTCGGTGACCCCACGGCGAGCTCTCTCCTCAGAGCTGCGAGGCCTCGAGAGGGCCCCAAGACTCAATCCCTGACTCTGCTCCCGAACGTAGATGGCGCCCTCCACCGAGCACCGCCACTTCTCCGCCCGACTGGCCACGGCGCGAACGGCCCCCGAGCCCCACGCACGCCCGCAGACGCCGAACCCACCGGAAGCGAACCCAATGGCCCCAGACGCGTCGGAGGCCACCACGCACGGGTCGAACGGTCTCTTGGCGTCGACTAAGGCGAACCGCAAGAGGGTTGCAGCGATCCGCGGCTCTCGGGCCACAACTTCAGGAGCGCCACCGCTGCATCCCGGCCGTCTCACAGATGAAAATCGCTACCGAGGATAAACAAAAGCTCGCGTTTTAAAAGGAAGCCCCAAGCCAGATGCCCCAGGATCCGACGCAGTTGGACCCTGCTGCACCAGCCCTGACGGCAAGGCCCCGCGAGCCCAAGGCGGATATTCCACAGGCGCAGGGTAGGAAGCGAAATGATCCCCGAGCTGCGCGCAAACGTGAGACCCGCGAAAGACTGCTGATTAGACGCTCCGACCACGCCCTTACATATCAGACCTCGGGGCCCCTGGAGCTCGACGGCGGCAGCGCGCCCGCCCGAACAGGCTTCACATCGGTTCCGACAAAGGCGACCCCGTCGACGTGGACGGCAGCCAACGGCCCTTCTACGAGGCCCGCGGCAGCCCGTCGGCCATGGACCAGTCAGGAAGGGGGATGGCCAGAGTCGAGGACGGCTTGCTCTACCAAGCACTGACAGAAAGACCAAGACCGCCCCGCCGGAAGCACGCGGGGGACGGGCGAAAACTCCCCGACTCCGCGACGCCCCCCAGAGCTGCCTGGGCAACGTGCCTCAGGATAACGAAAGGAGACCGAGGGGGGGAACCAAGTAATCATCCATACCTGCAGGCAGGCCGATCCGACACATAGCATTATCAACGTCAGCCCGACACAAAGAGAGCTCACAATGATCTGGCACGTATAAAGAGGGCCACGCACAAGCTGTGGGCAACGGGAAGTACTCAGGGGCATTGAAGAACTCGCCGCTGCCCCTGTCGTCAAAAATCAGCCGCCGCTTGACGCCGTCGCTCTTCCACGCGGAAAAAAATCCAAGGTCGCGTTGAACTGGCCTTCCAGGCGCATCAGACCAGCCACCTGAAGGTCCAACACAAACTTGGCATAGGTAAACTTTGAGCGAGGTCGACTGTCGACGCGAGGCTTGGATGTCTTGAACGTTGGCTCCCGACTGACATCGGGCCGCATAAGATGCTGTCTCCACTCCTTCCAAAAGGTTAGCGCCGACCCGCCGAGGCACTGAGCCCCGTCGGCCAGAACCCCGCCAGTCGGCAGCGAGACGCGGTCTCGCCGGTAAGGAGCCGCATTCATGAACCAGGTCACCATATCCGGGTCTGCCCCCGCGCAGCTCACTGCAAACTACCGCGGGGCTAAGGTCCGGGACGCCGAGTCGCCCCCAACCACGTCGGAGGCGTTCGACGCCACGAGCCTGGGCAAGGGAAAGCTGGCGCGAAGCCTGGGCCTCGCCGCGGCTGCACAAAAGGGCGAGGGCAGTCACCGACTCGCGCACGCGCTCGTCGATGAGAGGCTGCGGCCGCAATGGCCAACGCCAGGCGGATCCCGCGGGCCAGGGAGAGCGGCCAGGTTGATCGGCAGCAGCTCGCGAGCAACGACCATCCTGGCCGCGGAGGCCCGCCGCGCACGCTCCTGGGCGGGGAGCGGCCCAGCCGGCGGGGGGCCGCCATCGGGTCACTTGGCCCCGCGGCCGCCAACGCGGCCGCCACCAGCGTCGCCCTCCTGCTGGCCACCGCCGCCGCCCGGCGCGCCACCGCCACGCCCGGCCTGGAGCCGCTTCAGCTCCGCCGCCTGCTGCTGGATCATGTGCTACAGCGAGCCCACGTCGCCGCCGCCGCCGCTCCGGCCACCTCCGCCGCCGCCTCCGCCGCGAGAGGAGATGGCGCGCTCCTCGCGGAGCTTGCGACGCCCCTTCAATACGCCCGCCTCGCGGCGGAGCTCGGCGGCGATGCGTTCCTGAAGCTCCGGCGCGATCGTCACGTGGCCGCGCGTCTCCGACGCCCCCATCATCAGAAACTCGCCCTCGGCGCCGTCCACACCGCCCGTCCGACCGATGACCCGCTCGCAGCACCGGTGCTCGATCAGATGCGCCCCCCTCGCGATGCACTCGAAGGGGGCCAGCTCGCTCACATTCAACTGGGCGAAAGAACAAGGCCACCTCGAACACACAAATGCAGAACTCGTGCTCGGCGACGCTGGGGTCGCTGGAGCTCAAGTCCGTCTCGTGCTTCCACTTCGCGTGGCGCGACCTCGGATGAGCATCCTGGTCGGCCAGAAATCGCAAGTACCACCTGGTAGTGCGAGGGCCGAGCCCAAACCAAAACGGCCACTCGGTCTCGCCGATGAAATTCACCGCGTCCATGAAGATCTGGCGGCGTTCACCATATGAATTGACCCTGATGCTGAAGACTCTGGCGTCCAGGCTCCCCTCGCCGCCAAGCTCGTCCCGCCTGACCACTCGCAAGACATGCGCATGTGTACCCATAGTAACGAGCCCGAGCCCGCCAGCAACTGCATAGCCGTCGGCAGCCCCGCCTGCAAACTCCGTCCGCACGGCGCCCGAACCAGTCGTCGCAATGACCTCCCAGCAGTGCCCGTCGGGCGGCTTGGGCAGGGCCCCGTCCGCCACCTCTAGGCTACTCGGAGCCTTCGCTGCTCCAGCCCTGGATGGTGGACTCTCGACTGTCAGCACCTGCTTCCCGCAGAGGCGCCAGGTTGGAGCTCTGCTGGAGAGCACCTCGGGGCGGCAGAACTGCAAGCCCGCCACATAGTCCAGCGGCGTCGGCCCCCAGTCGGCGCCGTAGACCTGGTGTCTCCTCCTGAGTTTTTGGCCCTCGGAGGTGGCGTCGACGCGCTCGCCCATCGTGTCGAGCGCAACCACGCCAGCCAGCGGGCCGGCCGACAGGAGGTGCGGGTAGATGTCCCCGTCTGGCGTGAGACAGTTGAAGCACTTCGTCACAAGAGCTGGTGGAACTGGATCGCCGACAACCTCGGTATAATCGCCTGGCGGGCAGCTGCAGATGATGACTCTCACCTGCCACGCCTGCCCGGCTTGACAGAGGACGGCGGCACGCTGACCAGCCTCCATAGCCCACTGCGCAACAGCAGCACCCCGCGCACAGCCCGATCAAGAAACTGACGACGACGACGACGACGACGACGACGACGCCAGCCAGGACGCCGCGCAGACTGCCAGTGGCCTCGGCGAGGAGCAGACACCCGCCCGCGTCCTCCCGCCCTGGCACCAACCTTGGATGGCAGCGGCAGGTGGGCGAGGGCGAATGGCAGCAGCTTGGAACCTATGGAGGAGAGAAATCTCATTCGCTGCCCTCTGAATTGGACTCGAGCCGCAAACGCGCGCACCGCAATGCCCTTCGCAGAAGATCGCTCGGAGGAGAGGTGAGCAGAGAGGAGAGGAGAGGAGAGGAGAGGAGAGGAGAGGAGAGGAGAGGAGAGGAGAGGAGAGGAGAGGAGAGGAGAGGAGAGGAGAGGGGAGGGGAGGGGAGGGGAGAGGAAATGTTGATCTAGAGGAGGAGGAATGTCTTTCGCATTGTTTCGACGCCTCCCTCCTCGACTTGGCGACCGCATGTTCTATGCCTTTGTGGGCTCACTATGCTTGTTTGTTCATCCTGGCTTTTCCCATCGCCAACTGCGCACGCCAGGGCTTAGTGTGTTGGCCGCGGCACCTAATTCGGCATACATTATCGCGTCCGCGAACGCTTCAGCTCCGATGCGAAAGTCCACTCAGCGCAACAAGGACGAGGAGAAGGAAGGACGCAAGGAAGGAAGGAAGCAAGGAATGGCGTTAAGGTCAGCAGCGTTGGAGGCGAGTCAGAAGGGCGGCAGCAGCAGCGAGCCGTTCAAGGTCTCAAATGGCTCTGCGATGGTATGGATGCGGGCCCTGCCTCTCGCACAGGCCTGTCTGGGGCGGCCCCCTGGCGCCTGACTGATGACTCCGCAGGGGGGGCGGGGGGCTGCAGAAGGCTCCCTCCGAATTCTGACACTCCTAACGCGATTGGGGGGGGGGGGGGGGGCACGGCCTCCTCCAGGCGCGAGGGGCATCACCCGAGCAAGGGGCGGAGAGGAGGCGATGCGATCACTCTCTCGACCCCGACTTCAGCAGGGGCCGACCGTCCCGGCATGCCTATAGGCCTACCACGAAATGTTCTTAGAACCCAAAAATTGTTCTGAGAACAGGAACACTGTGCTTAGAACATAAACCCGATGCGTTAAAACAAGACAGCCCCGGCCAGAAATGTGCTAAGAGCATTCCGTGGTGACCACAAGCGGCTCTTAGAACATTCTTTGGCAGGCCTATAGGCGAGCCAGGACGCTTCGCCACTGCTCCGACGGGAGGTGAAGGGGGGGGAGGGGGTGCTGCCTTGCAGCTGCAGCACTCCCCGGCGAACGGCGCGGGGGCGGCGGCGGGGCGACGGCGAGAGCACCCTCTGTCCCGCCAGTCTCGCTCCCTGCCTGGCTCCACGGCTCTGCTTTCACGCCTCCGGCTGATTCCACGGCGGTGAATGCACGCCCCGAGGGGCGGCACGACGCCCGGACCCAGCTTTCATCGGTGCTCCGCCAGGCTCTCGCTCACACACCAGCATCCCATTTCCTGGCGGCGAGTCGCGCCCGCAGGGGCGGCCCGACGCCCGGTCAGGGCTTCCGGTGAGCGGCCTCTCCCCCCGCAGGCCGGAGGGCAAGGGGGGAGAGGAGGCAGGCAGAAGGGCAAAGGCCGCAGAAAACGTGGGACAGGGCGGGGAAAGTAAGAGGAAGCATGGGCCTGGGGGCGACAAGAGCCGTCTCGCGCCTCCGAAGCCGAGGCGAGCAGCTCTCCAGGCGACGCACCAGGGGCCCACAGGGGCCCAAGGGCCGCGAGAAGCACAGGAGCATCCGAGGCCCTGCGCAGTGATCTTCCCAGCAGTTCTAGCTACATCTTCAGTCTGACTCTTGTTTGTTGAATCCTACCCGAATATGTCGGTACACAAATGCGTCCTCGGGTCTGAAAAATAGTGGTGGTCGACGACGTAGGGGCTCCGTGGGCAACTCTCTGGGGGGGGCATGCGTACCTCTGATACTCCAGCCGTCGTCCCCTCCACTGTCGTATGTGCTCGCAACGTCGCGGCAACTCCATCAAGTGCGAGCGTCCAATCCTCTGGGTTCGAGCGCAAGCTCTTTGCCTCTTATAGCCACGAATCCTCCCGTGTATCTCTCGTCTGCATGATTGACCCCCTGCCGCGAAGTTGCGATCTAGCCTGGAGTTGGGGCTGATTATTGCTTCGGTGGGACGACGTCATCGAGATGCCCAAGTTAATCAACTTGCTCTCGTCCAGCTCCACCCCACCATAGCGCACCCATGTGGGCGAGTCGTCCGCGTTCTACTCCGGCTTTTCCCATCCAGGCGGGTGCTTGTCTGGCTGGGGTGTTGGCTCCCCCTTCTCCTTGAGCTGCTCTTCCAACTTCACACCGTGGTCGAACCGCTTGCTCTCATCTTGGGGTGCCCACTCTGGCTTCTCCCCATACATCTGGAGCTCTTTCATGCTATCGTCCTTCTCCGTGCTGAGGTCGTACTTCTTGATGGGCAACCGGTTCCCTCTGTACTCTGCAACACTGTGGTAAAACAATACTCTGATCTGCTATAGGCTGTCTATCACCTCCTTTGTCGTCTTGAGCCGGACCTTCAGCAAGATGATGATATCCTAGGCTATATCGTCTCCACGTATTGTTGCCGTGTTTGCGTTCCTCCTGACTGGGCTGGAAAAGAGCTGCTGCTGGCTGTTGTTCGCAATGTGGAGGTGTCACATGGTGCCCGATTGTAGTCTCTTCCAGGTGTCCTTCGTCAGGAGGAGAAGGATCCAGGCAACTTCCAGAGGCCCAAACAAGACAGAGGCGCTCTAAAAACCTCGGTTGCCCTCCTCTTTCCTCCTCCTCCTCCTCCTCCTCTTCTTCTTAGCTTTATTAATCTTAGCATTATTGTTCTTACTAGTATTAGTAGTATTGAGTTATTATTGTTCTTATTGTTCGTCATAGTATCATTCATCAGATTCTTAATGTTGTTCTTGTTAGTATGATTCTGCTGAGTGGAAGTATTATTATTAGTATCATTATTACGATTATTACAATTATCATTATTCGTCCTCGTCTTCATCGTATTATTCTTAGTACTCTTATAAGAATTATTATTATTCGTATTACTATCATGTCTCTTCATCCTCCTTCTCCTTTCTTTCCCCCCACTTCTCCTCCTCCTCCTCCTCCCCCTCCTCCCCCTCCCCCTCCTCCTCCTCCTCCTCCTCCTTCCCGTCCTCCTCCTCTAACAGCAGGGCAAGTTGAGACAACGACAGCTCAGTCGATCCCCAGCCCCTTCCCGCGCCCGAACGCACCAGTCTCCCGAGCCGAGTCCAGCAGTGGCGACGCAAGGGCACCCCGAAGTCCAACTGCCATGGTGTCAACTGGACCTCCCCTGATCCTGCCCGGCCGCCTCGGACGACGAGGCCGACGGCGACGGCGGCGGCGACGGCAACGGCGGCGGCGGCAGCAGCGATGGCGACGGCAAAGGCGACGACTTGGCGGCGCGCGCAAGGGGCGGTGCGAAGGGGGCGGCCTTAGAAGAAAACGGGGGAGCTTCTAAGAAGGCAAGGGCCTTGAAGCCACCCCGGCATCTGAGAAGCCTTCTTGAAAGGAAGAAACTCTCGGAAGTCCGCGCGGATTTCTCGGATCTATTCTGGACATCCTTCTCTGGCGCGCGGGATGCAACAGGGACGGCGCCACAAGTGCCACCGGGGGGGGGGGGGCAAGCGCCGATCCGAGAAATTCGCGCGAAGCTCCACAAGTTGATGCTCCTGCCTTTTCTGTGGCAACTCAAGAAGAAGCCTTCCGAGGAGCCTTCCGGGCCTCCCAGTAAGGCCCGTGCCTTCAGCGATTACCAGGTGTGGACCTGCTCCATCGTCAGAATGCTCCACTTCACCCTTCTCTCTAGAGGCCTCCTAGATGGGGTCGGAGTAGATGGGGTCGGAGGATCGCGCCGCATCGTCGATGTATCGGCGATGCATCGGCGATGTATCGGCGATGCACCGGCGATGTATCGTCAACGTCGGCGATGCATCGGCGACGTCGACGTGAAGCAAATCGGCCTGCACATCGAGCCGCATCGTCGATGCATCAGCGATGCGGCGCGATCCTCCGCCCCCATCTACTCCGACCCCATCTAGGAGGCCTAGACTCTCGTCATCAACGTCACCACAGGAGGCCTCGCGGCAGGGTCGACTCGGCGGCGCCGCCGGGGCCCCTCACTTCGCTCCAGGAGGAGGAGCAGAAGGAGGAGGAAGAGAGGAGGGAGAAGAAGGAGGACAAGGACGGTGAGGAGGAGGAGCAGGAGGGGAAGGAAGGAAGAGGAGGAGGAGCAGGAGGAGGGGAATGAGGAGGAGGCCCTCCGCCTTCGCAGGAGGCCACCCCCCCCAGCGAGGGCCGGGCAGCCGCCGCCTTCACCGCGCGGTCGAACCACCGCTCCGCCGAGGCGCGGTCGCTGCCCCTTCGGCCGGGGCGGTCGCCGGCAGCGACGGCGCCGCCGCCGCCGTCGTGCGTCGTCCGTCGTACGGTCGGAGCGCATACGAAAGGACACGCGACAGGTGATGGGCCTGTTTTCCGCCGCCACCACCACCACAAGCTGGGGAGGGGAAGGAGGAAGAGGAGAACGAGGAGGAGGAGGAGGAGGAGGAGGAGGACACCCCCCCTCCCCCTCCAACATATGGTGGTGGAAGACAAGCCCATCAACAGGACGCGAGACTCTTCCGACGGCAGCATGGCCTCCAACAGCCGCAGGACGCAAGGGGTACCCTGCTGATGCCACGACCGCGGTCACCCGCGACCGGACCGCAGGCTCGCGAAGGGGGTCGCACGCCGGACAGGACACCAAGGGCACCCTGAGTCCGAGCACGCAGAGGACATGAGAAGGAAGAGGAGAAGGAGGAGGAGGGGAGGAGGAGGATGAGAAGGAGGAGGAGGAGGAGGAAAAGGAAGGGAGGAGGAGGAGGAGGAGGACAGGACACAAGAGCACCCTTGATTTTGTCGGGTCGACCTGCCAATGCGCGCCGACTGAACCCAGACCCCCTCGCGTCAAATGCTAGCCAGCGTGGACCCCAAAGAGTGATTTCTTGCTGTCTATGCGGTGCAATCTAGGTGGCGCAATCTAGGTGGTGCAATCAACATGGTGCAATCTAAAGCACTCTTGCAACCTATGCGGTGCAATCTAGGTGGCGCAGTCTAGGTGTTGCAACCCATGTGGTGCAATCTAAAGCAATGCAGAGCATGGCAAAGCATGGCAGAGCAATGCAAAGCAAGGAAAAACAAGGCAACGCAAGGCAAATGAATCGGAAGCAATGCAGAGCAACGCAGAGAAAAACCATTGAAAAGCAATGCATAGCAATGCAAAGCAATGAAAAGCAATGCAAAGCAATGCGAAGCAGTGCAAACCTGTGCAAAACAATACACAGCAATGCAACGAAATACAAAGCAACGCAAAGCTCGAGCCTCGCGAAATGGAAATCGTGACCGAAGGATGGCGGCGACGGGCGGCGACGGGCGGCCACAAGCTGGCAGGAACGACAACCAGGCCCAACAGCTTAGAAGAGAAGTACGATCCCCAGCTTCGAAGAGAAGTACGATCCCCTGGGTGGAAGTACTGCTTGTGGACTAACAAACGCACAACGGATTGGTTTGTGCTGCTTGCGGACTCCACGGGCCCTCACCGGGCCTCGGGACCGTCCAAGAGTGGCCCATGATGAAGAGCCAGGGCCAGGCCATCGTGGAGCATGCAGTGTGCCACACGCCCTTTGTTCAATTTCGTACTCCCGCCTGGGCACCGCGCACACGTCTTACAAACCACGACGTGCTCGCCTCGGCGCCGTGCACACGAGTGGCGGGGGCACGTTCCGCGCGCCGCACAGGAGGCTTTGGACGACTGGACAGGCCACCGCATGTCGAAACAGCTCCCCATTGTCACCCTCCGCCCGCCACCTCCCCTTCCCGCATCCTCTCTTTCCCCCCCGCCTCGTGCGTTGCGTTCTGTGCGCTGCGCGTTGTGAGTTGTGCGTTGTGCGTGCGTTGTGTGCTGCGCGTTGTGCGTTGCGCGCTGCGTGGCGTGCGTTGAGCGTTGCGTCTTGCGCGTTGTGCGTTGTGCGTTGTGTATTGTGGGTTGTGCGTTGTGGGTTGTGCGTTGTGCGCTGCGCGTTGCGCGCTGCGTGCTGTGCGTCGTGCGTTGCGCGCGGTGCGCGACCGTGCGTGCGCGCGTTTGCGCGCGCATGCGCGCGCGTTCTTTTCGCCAGCGCGGCGACTCTCCCTAGCCGCCGTCGCACGACGAGCGCGCGCGCGTGCACGAGTGCGCGCGCGCGCGTGCGCGCGCGGGCGTGAATGGATGCGCGCGTGGGTCTGTGCGTCTGCGCGCGCGGGCGCGCGCGCGCGTATGCGCGCGCACGCGTGCGGGAGCGCGCATGCGTGCACGCGCGCGCGCATGCGCGCGTGAGCGCGCATGTGTGCGAGCGCGCGTGCGCGCGCGAGCGGTTGCGCGCGCGTGCGCGTTTGCGCGCGCGCGTGTGAATGTGCGATTGTGTGTTTGTGTGATTGCGTTGTGTGGTTGTCTGATGATGTGAGTGCGTGATTGTTTGGATATGTGATTGTGTGATTGCATGCTTGTGCGATTGTGTGATTATGTGATTGCGTGCTGTGTTGTGTGATTGTCTATTATGTGATATGTCTTTTGTATTGTTGGATTGTGTGCTGCGTGTTGTGTGTTGTGTGTCGTGTGGTGTGTGTTGTGTGGTGCGTGAGATGTGCTGTGTGTTGTGTCCTGTGGTGTGTGTGTGGGGTGTGCTGTGTGTTGTGTCCTGTGTCTTGTGTGTGTGGGGTGTGTTGTGTCCTGTGTCTGGTGTGTGATGTGTGGGGTGTGCTGTGTGTTGTGTCCTGTGTGGTGTGGTGTGTGTTGTTGTGTGTTGCTGCGTGTGTTGTGTGTGTTGGTATGTGCTGTTGCATGGTGCTGTCTGTTGCGGGTTGTGTTGTCGTATGTTGGTGTGTGGTGTTGCGTGCTGTTGTGTGTTGTAATGTGTTGTTGTGTTGGGTTGTGTAATAGTGTGTGTGTGTGTTGCTG